CTATACTGATCTCTATGGGTAAAGATACCTGTAGTGGTCGGGAGCAAAAGATCCTCAATATTACTTTGTGTAATTTGAACAGCTATTAATTTTGATGGCATTTTCTGTCAGCCTATCCTAAACAAGGAATAAAACCTTTTACTACTTGCCACAATATAAATATTTTATCTAAAGAGGGCTGTGATGAAAGAAAAGGAGACACAGACATTTATTGCTGGGAAGTTCTGAAGAATGGAAATTCCATCATAGCTGCATATGACCAATTCTCTTTTAAGAAAATAGTTTTAAAAGCCTGGTTATAATCAGTGGTTAGGCAATATGAAATAAAAATATGCATTAGAAAACCATGCTTATGATTGGCATCAGTTTGAAAACATCATTTTACCTTGGACCTGTGAGACCTTTGGCTCATAATGGAAATACTTGAGATTTTGAGAGTCCTGCAGTCCATCCAAGCCAAGCAGCATAATGCAATGATTGATTGAATTTTTGGGGTGTAAGGAAAAGGGGAAGATGGCTTTTAGCTATAGCCCTGCTGTACATATCTATGTGTGGTGATACAACACCCCAGAGTGCTTTGAAAGAACCCCTGAATTAATAAAGCTGCATGTGGTGAGAAAAGCCTTGCTGCAACAAACCAAGAAAAGCACTGTCAAAGGGAAGGGAGAAAAGAAAACCCCAAGAACTCATCTCTACTTTGTTAAAAGAGTGCAGCAGTCAGCCAAATGGTCATGTATTCTGTGCATTCCTTTTATTTTTCATTTGTTTTCTTGGTTAGTGTACAACAAAGAACAGAGGTGATGGGCAGAGCAACAAACCCACAATGACTGTATATATTACAAAAATACAGACAATGCTTACAGGAAAGTGACACAGCATTTTTAAAATGTGTGGTAACATTAAAAATGTCTCTGTTTATTCTGGTTCCCACACTCTTGGGAGTTCCAGGCATAAGCTTTTCCCTTGGCATGAATCTGACAGAGCACTTAGTGCCTACTGAAGGCTAAGTCAAGTATAGCAGCAGGGCTGGGCCCTGAGGCCTGAGTAGCAGAGTTCATCATCCATCATCCCCTGACAGATGATTTTCTGGCTCTCTATTACACAGGGAGAAAGTGTTCACAGAATGCACACTAAATATGTGTACATTTATGTGAAGAAGAACCTCCTTTAGAAAACCCTTTTATTCTTATCCTTGACCAAATTATCATTGTTATTAAAAATAATTTAATCAGCTTACATAAGGAAAAAGTTCAGGGAAGCAAAATTAAATAAAAGTGGTTACAAGAAATCAGAGCTGTGCAATTTTCTTTAATCGTGTTTCCTTGGAGCATGTAGTGTTGGGTATTTTTGTTTAAAAGGCAAACACACAGAGAGAAACAAGTGAAAGCTCTATATAAATTTAGCTAAACACAAGTTTCACTCTTTATATGGTCAGGAATATTTTTAGAGGTTTTTCTGGGGAAGGGGTTTAGGGTGGGGTGTGTTTGGGGTTTTTTTGTTCCGCTGCTGAGACTGAGGTGTTCTGGGTGAGGTGAGCATATCTGAATATTGTCACTTTTCCTTGTACCTCTGCCACACTGTTCAGGGAAGGGTGGGTTTACGGTGGGCTTAAATGGATTTTCTGGAAAAACATGAAAGGGTAAGATACCAAATACTTGGAGTGTTTGAATTTATTTATGTGGGAAAAATAGGAGTGTAGGCAGACCCTTTGTAATCTGCTGGACTTCACATGCCTGGCAGCTGAAACATGGACAGGATCTGACATTTGGAGATGAGAGAAAAGGGACCATTTTTCAGCTGGAAAACTTCAGCTTCAGTTTCTGTAGTGGTCCAGCCAGAGGTGTGACAATGTTCATCCATAAAAACTAATGCAGGAAGAATGGCCTGGGGTTTGAGGGTAATGTCCAGATTTTACAAATCTGGTAGAAATATGTGAGCCCTCCTGTATGGGATTGTCACTTCAGAATACCTGTGTGTCTCTGTTTCCAATTGGAAACAAAAACGTAGTTAGTTTTTACCACTTTGCTTTCTTTTGGGCTTCAGAAACCCTTAGCACAAGCTGTATCTGCTCTGTGAGAACTTTGCTGTTACTTGTGTTGTCACAAAAGGCTTAAAACTGCTATGAGTGTGAAGGCTTCTTGACAGTAGGCATCAGAAAAATGTTTGGATCTGCCCCTTACTACATCTACATTTTAAATTTCTTTACCTCATAGGGCAAAATTACTTTCAAATCTGTTAAGCCTTGTTGAATTTTGATATTAGAACCCAAGACAGGTTTATCTTAAGATAATACTAAGATTAATATGTTTCATAATTATTTCCTATTTCTCACTGTGATTATGTCAATGTTTTTGCACATAGAAGAAAATTCTCTAGACTTCTTACATCACCTCTACATGCTTATACATGAAGAGATTAGATAGCCTGAATGAGTACTTACAGAAGTGTGCCATTGACAATATAATACATGGAAAGGATTGTCTGTCATTTACTCTTTATGTCATAGAAAACTCAGATCAGAGTCTTATATTTGCTTTTTTCTCTCAAGGTCATCCAGATCACTAAAAAGTCATGAAGTGCAGAAGGAAATTCTAAGAGTTTTCATGTGGTCATTCCTAAAGAAATAATTTACTTTAGTATCCACATGTTCAGAATCTTTATCTTTTTCTACCTTTGGTAAATTAGCAGCAGTGCTTTTTAGGGAGAAGAAAAACTTGCAGATAAAACATTTTGGCTAAACTATCTGAAAACAGAGTTATTGAATCACTAAACTGAGCAGAATGCTCAATTTGCCATGATTATGGAAGCAAGTAAATTCTACTGTCTTCTGCACTCTCTCCACCTAAGGCTGGTGAGGTTCTTTCTGTTTTCTTGCCTTTCCTACATTTCCAAGTAACAGGTGAAGTTCACCAAAGAAGAACCTCCTCATCTGAAGTGATGTTTCCTAACTCTCAGCTAAAGCCAAGTACATGAAAACAGCAACTGCTAGCCCAGGCTCTGTGCTTTGGCCCCATCCTGGGAGTGTGACATGATAAATACTCTGATGTTTTTTAGCACTGTCAATAGGATCCAGCTGGCTGTTTTTAAATGTGTGGCATTTACAGATGCTTTCTCTTTGCCTTTCATATCTGTTCCACTCTGGTGGACTAAACACGTGTCAGCAAGGCCAAAATGTACAATACAGACCTCACTGGGTTCCTTAAATGTGTTTGGTTTTTAATAGCATTGTGTGCAGTGAAACCACATTAAGTATTTCTGCTGAGGTTAGAAGGATCGTGGGGTCTGAATTTGGTTTGAACATGCTATTCCTCTTTGCAGTTTTCTTCTTTTTGCCCCTCTGTGTAGCAGCTTGTTACGGGTGTTGCAGCTGCTGTGATCCAAAATACCATCATGGGTACATATGCATGTGGTGCCTGCTGTCTGAGTTCTCTAACACAGCAGAGAGTAAGGTGTGTTAGAGACTTGTAGGTGACCCCAACCTGCTCCAAATCAGCCCAGTTTTGAGCATAGGTGGGACAAGATGGCTCCAGAGGTCTCTTTTGGCCGAAGTTATTTTAAGATTCTCTGATCCCGTGTTTGGTTTCCTTGTGTAGAGCTAGCAAGGGCTCATAAAAGCAGCCTGGTTTGTCCATAAAAGCACAATGGCCCTGGGGCATGCTGATCCACCCAAGTTACTTCTTGGCAAGAGGGGCCCAACCTCTGGTTCCCGTTTTGCCTGCTTTTATGGCTGTTTCTGCATCTGGTGTGGGGTTGTGCCATAATGCAGACAATTACTCTGCTGGGTAGGTACTCATTGCTGCTGTGGTTGAGTAGCTGGCACAGTAAAACAGATGAGTAAATGCTTTGAAGGAGCTTGATGCATGTGCTGGCACGCCAGGCAGGCCTAATAATAATGCAGGTCTTGCTACTCTGCCTTGTGGTGTGCTTCTTTGGGAGCTCAGGCCATTCCTGGCAGGAGAGATCCTCAGCACTGGGTCATCCAGACAGGGGAATCAGAAGATGCTGAGCTACTGACATGACCCACATTAGCATGTTTTGTATATGGGTGTTCATGTGCTGGGCACACTTAAAGAGTGATTCAGAGACAGCTGCATAGATCTCTGATGTGTGAACCCAGAGAGCTGTAATGGAGAACCCCCTAGACAGTGGTAGAAACATTACAGTATCAAGCAGATCAATGGTCAGTAATTAATCCTATCTGAGGAGCTTCCTCTGCTGCTTTCACTGACCTTCTGCAGCTTTAGCTGCTATTGCAACTGATCTGAAATGCTTTCTGTGCAACTTTAGAAAAAAGCCGTTTTATAAAACAGAATTTTTTGCGCTGGTTTCCAAATTAAAGCCGTCATGTGCAGGCACAGGCACATATCCTTTCTCAAATGCAGAAAACCCTGACAGCTAAGGCCTAAAAGATGTGAGGAGCCCTTCCCAGAAAACAGATGGTCAGAAGGAATGTTTTTGGCAGTGGTAATAAGAGAAATCTAAAAGAATTTCATTTTGTATTTTGTTTTGTCTTTTGGGGGCGATTTAAAAAAAAAAAAATCCAACCAAAAAAATCTCCCAAACAAAATGAACACCAAGAAAACCCCTAACATGACAATCCATACCCAAAAGCAGCTTCTCCTAAAAATCTGATGACATTGTATGCTTGTAATGAAGCAGGAAAGTCTTGATAGTTCAGTACCTACCTGTGGTCACTGTGATGTAATTTATCTAATCTCATCTAAAATCTAATGCTTGCAGATTGGTAATTCAAAATGTTTTAGATTAAAGCAGATGGGAATAGAGAGTTTGGTCAAGAAGGATCAAATTCGTCACTGTGATTGTGAATGAGTAATGACTTGACTAATTATTACTATATTTAGGGGAAAACCAGCTGTTCAGTGAATTTCATTTGTTACTCTTCACCTCTGTCCCTCCAGTGAAGTTATGTGTTTTCTTTCACTGCAAAGATGAAAGTATCGTTCACTGAACACTCAACCAGTTTGGTTTAATTTTCTTAGGTTTCTGAGAAAAGAGCCAGAAATCAAACCTGGAACCTGTTGCTGCTAATCAAATCATGATAGAAAGGTAAGAAACTCATTCTATTCCTAGAGTTTGGGCTTTGTCCTTTCTACTTCTTACTGCTGTTATATTTCCAAAGCTTTATGTTTTACCTACTAGACATGCTTTCCCAGAATTTGATTATTTATCCATAAGGGGTATTTTTTGTGAAATAAAAAAGAGTCAACCACCTTTTCTGCCTAGCAGAAACTGAAGAATGACCTCTGTGTGAAAGGCACACATCACCCGTGTAGTCAGTTTCTGCATGAAAGGCTTCAGGCTGCAAGAGCGTTGCTGCAAGATGGGAGGTTCACACATATCCTTATCCAGCTTTTCTGGGAGCATTCAGAATGTAGTTTGGTTCAGGGATTAGTGTCTGGTGACGGGTTTTATACCAGGTGTTCTAACACAGCAAGTTGTGGCAGGATGAGAGAAAATGGGCAGGCAATCTGAATCCCAATTTCCCAGCTCTGTCACTTTTTGAGTTGTAATTTTACTATTTTCTTTACTTTTATCTTTGACTTATTAGCACAGACATTGCCAAGGACACTCCACATCAGCTATTTATGTTCACAAACCTATTTCTATTTGTTCCAGCAATCTCAGCCAAGAACATCCCAGAACTGACATTTTAGAAAACCTTTTGTTTATGGGAAATTTTACACATTGCATTTTCGAAACAGTGAAATGGGGAGTGTTCACTGCAAACATCTGAGAATACTTTGGCTCTTCTAATTTTCTCATGATGTCTTACTAATATCCAAAAAGGGAACAACTGTTAGTTTTATAAACTACTCTGCCAGGTTTCCTCAAAAGTTGTTACATTCCCAAATTTTCTAAGCAGGCATATTTGTCTCAAATACATTTTGCTTTTCTACTTCCTAGTTAAAACTAGTATTTTCTCTTCATGGCATGTATCAGGACTGCCCTTTTCAAGCATGTAAGGTCTGTTCTTTGGAGCTTTTTAACAAAGCAAAAACTTAATTGCAAGTCTTCTGCAAAGGAGTGAATTTTGCCCTACTTCAGTTTGTCTTCAAATAGATATAAATTAATCACCAAATTTAAATTCAACTTTGTCTTTTAGTTCTGGTTAAAATAAATGCTTCTGAATTTTAAAAGTTCAAATGTTCATCAAATTGCATACAGCACTGCCCTTGGGATTATACCTAAAGCATTTCTAGGTAAGCAATGTTAATATACAATTTGCAAAGCAATAACCCAAGTCCCAAGTGGAAAGGAAATGCTATGAAGCTAAAAGGTAAATAATAAATGCTGATGAACAGGGAGTCTGGAAAAACACAATTGGAAAAAGTGCTAAATCCCAAGGTTTTACTTGTTTTGCTCTTACTTATTAACTCAGGTATGGGGCTTTGCTGTTCTACTGGTGCCCTGGAGGAAAGGTCTTTGTCACTTTAGATGAAAAAGTCTTCAAAATGTTACAAACACATTCTGCTCTGTTCAGCCAGGCTTACTAAAATAAGGAGGAATTTTTGGCAAACAATAGAGACAACAAAGGAGAGGCTGCTGCTGAATTATTGGCAATTGTTGATAATAAATGATTTGCTAGATGCTGAGGAAAATGCCAAACTATTCATTTTTAATTCCTTAGTTAGTTCATGGTACACTGATACGGATTCCTTGAAATATATGGGAAAATGGGCAGGTTTTCTGGGGCTTCCATGTTAGAGCAAGTCCTGCAAACTTGTAATGGCTGGCAGGGACTCCAGTCCAGGAAAATACAGAGGTTTTGAACGGATGAAACTGCCCACAGGCTTAAAATTAAGTACAAGTAAAAGTACTTTCTGGAACTTTGGTTAGGGGATTTGCTTTGATCAATGAATTGATCTATGAGTCTTAGCAGAGACACTCCAATGCAGGAATGATGCCAGGGTTTTCAATCACAGTGCCTCTGCTGAACTCTGATTGCTACCTGACCTGCCAAGGAAAAGGTGACATGAGCCTGTGTGCTCAGAGAAACCATTGCTCCCATGTTACAATAAAGCCAAGACACTGGGATATAGAAATGCTAAATGACTGTGACCTACCCTGTGAGCAATACCATGATGGCTGGCTGGAAACCACCCTGAAAAGTAGGGAAGCAAAATCTTACAGGGGACAGAATTCCAAAAATGGATGGGCAATTCAAGTCCAAGGCAGCTATCTAGCTGCCTAAGTAATGTAAAACATTCTGGCTAAATAAAGATAATTGCAGTGACATTGGAAAGAAAAATTAGTTGATGAAGAAAGTGTGTAAAAAAAACCAACAGTAATTAGGGCAAAAGAACTTGTCTTTAAATGCTGAGTGCTGTGTGTATTCCTTACAAAGGAAATTTAAATGTTCATGGTAAGGTCATAGATGGATGTAAATTTATGTATGGTAGGAATTTTTCAAAACTACTTTTTAATAACAAAAGTAGCTTGGATAATGCAGTACCCATGTGCAATTAAAATAGTAACATTTTCATTACTACATCACAGTTTTTATTCTTCATTATTATTTGGAAATACTTACAGACTTTGCACTGGTAGATTCACAAGCTGAATTTGAACTAAGGAGGGAAAGATGTTTCATACCAAAGTCACATCACCATGTGACCTCACAAAATTTTACAAGAGAACCAGAATCTCCTCAGTACCTGCATGAGTTTGTACTATTGAGGTGAGGACTAGATGGGACAGTGATGTTTTGGGATGAAGAAGTACACACCACCCTGTGCCCCTGTTTTACTGCTTCAGCAGGGGATGGATGGAGAATTGTGCTGTGACAGAAGCACGGGATTTGGTGCAGTTTGCTTCTTTCAATCCAAAAGATGGAATTTTGAGAAGAACTTGCCTTGTCTATGTCTACAAAAGACTGCCCTTGTGTTGATGCCTTGAGAGGCTACCTAGAACAGAGGCCAGACAGTGTTAAAGAAATAAAGTAGGTATTTATTAGAAAGGTCTTCAAAGGATACACCTTGGGCACTACAAGAGCCTGGCCGAGGCTACATCCAGGATGGATGATGGGTCACACATTTTCACACTTTTGTAAGTTTTGGTCCATTTCCATATTGGGGTTAATTGTCCAATTACAGCTTCAGATTATGAAGTCCCATCCTCCCAGATTGCTCTCCTCAATTCGCTGCTGTTGATACATTTTGGGCTTGAAGCTGCAACTGTGTCCTTGGTTCTTGGGTTGGAAAAGGATTGTTTTGTCTAACTAAATTGTGAAGAAAACTTGCTAACACTATATATGAAGTTCAAAATTATATATTAATGCAGTAACAAATCTGGAAAATATGAGAGCTAAAACTTAAGGCATTAATATTTTTCTGGGTTAGTACATTGATTTAGCAGGTCTCTTTTTGTGTGTTGAGCTCAGGTGTTTGTGGATATGCTGGGTCTTCCTATCTGATGTCTAAATACAACTTTTCCTGTTTATTCTGCAAGTGTTTATATGTAGAAATAGTCCCATCAATAATGGGAGTATCTATGAACCTTGAGGGAGAAGGCCTGTGTTATTAACCCACTCTGTGTGTTGACATTAAAAAAAAAAAAAACTATCTCAGGAGGTGGCTCCTATCATTCCTGAAGCAAATTCAGTTGTTTGCTGAACTACAGAATTGCCTCTGTGCTGAAAAGAATTACCTTGGTATAGCCAAAGGTTCAGTATTTGGCTTTCTAAGCACAATAACTTCATTAATAATAAAAAGTTGTGTGGGCTGATTATAACAGAACGTGAGAAAAAAACCCAGTATGCACACACCAGAAATAAAACAATGCCATTATTGAATAATAAAAGTCTCCTCAAAAATATTTTCACCTTATTGGCATCTCCAAGTCAAGAAAAGAAAACCAGTTTTAGGACCGAACAAAAATTCCCTTTCCAGCCACAACATATCCTTAGAGAGAAGAACTAGCTCCATGTATAATGTAGAGAACATGCTACAGGGCTGGCCAAACCAGCCTCCAGTGGATAGTAACTCTATGGTTATAAAATTATATTGTTCTTTGTATTAGTTTTAAATGACTTGTACATATGTCCACTGTTGTCAGCTTAGAAAGTACAGTTGTGAAACTTTGCTTCCAAGTGCTTAAACATTTTGTCATATGAAAAGAGCTGAAAGCAGCCCAGTTTTTTCAGCATTTGTATCATGCATTGGATGGCTTAGAAAAAGGCTTTTCTAAGCATTTGTCACAGAGAAGCAGTAAGAAAATATTTTAAAACTATTTAACTCTTGCTGTTTTCTCTGAGTATTTTTTGGGCAGAAGCCTTCTGGCTGCTTATAATGAACTGACCTGTATGTTGTTTTTAGTGTAGATGTTAAAATTAGGTAGCTAATCAGCCACTGACTCAAATAAGCAACTACAGTCTCCTTTCAGCAAATAATTTAAGTATTTAAATTCATGTAAGGATGAGATAAAGTGCATGATAGCTGTGAGTTCTTTGAAATGGGCGTTCTCTCTAGTAAGACAAGCTAGACAGACTAGACAAACTTCTTCTCTGGTAATCCAGAATCTGACAGAAGAATGAGCCATAGTAAGGTCTGTTGGAGAGATGGGAGGCCAGAGCCAATACAGTTTGTGGCTCAAGTGACTTATTTTTGTAGTTCCCCTGCAGCAATTTTCCTGCTCAGAAAGTCTACCATTGTACTGACTTTTCACCAGGGTAACAAAACAGTCCCTTCAAGAGAAAACACAGAGATTGGTGGGGGACCCTGAGTTTTAGATTTGGGGGAATTAATTTCTTTTTCAGGTTTGAGGAGCAAAATCCAGTCCCACTGACCCCCATCTCTCTGAATTTACCTGAATCAGGCTTGAATCACAAGCACTGGAGTGCCAAAAGGCCACAGAGGACAGATTATCTGAGGACTGCTTGGGGCTCTGTGAATTCCCAGGCTTCAGCTCCAGGTAAAGTTGGGATCATCAGAGACACAACTTTAGTTTGCAGCATCTCTTCTTCTCCCATGGAAGTCTCCACAGCACTAGAGCTTGGCAGAGCAGTGGTGAAGCCCAGCTAGCCTGGGGACAGGGAATGGAATGAGCTC